CAGCCATTTTTAAAAACCAAGGAGAGAGAGTGGTCACGGTGAAATATCCAATAATTTGGTATCTCTGGAAAGCCCTGAGTGTGCTCTGTACAGGACATCCAGACTTAAAACTGTGACATGTGAGGTCTCAGAGAAATTCACTAAAATATAATGTCCACTACAGAGACAAAAACTCCATAGCTGGGTCTCAGGAGGATATGGGATGAGTCACAGAATATGTGGTAGGAAATGTAGAACATTTTAATAAATGATAAAACTACAAAATTACGAGATAAAAAGTGTAAATTATGACATAAAAAGGGAAAATTATGAGATAAAAATTCATAATTAAGATAAAATCAAACATTCATGTTAGAGTTTCAGCTAACATAAATGTTTGATTTTATCACAATTGCAACTTTTTATCTCATCATTTTCACTTTTTATCTCATAAGTTACACTTTTTATCTTGTAATTTCCACTTTTATCTCATAATTATGAATTAATATGTTTTAATTCAGTTTATTTTGTTCTCACAATGTGTCTCATAATTTTTAAGTTGCTTATTACTGTGTGAACTCCATTATGAAATATTGCCAGGCAGTTTCATTGTAAGTTATAACATAAAAATTATATATATGGGGTGAGTCACAGAAAAATGTGGTGCGAAATGTATAACATTCAAATAATCTACATATTGTGATACAGCTGTTGCAGATATTGTGTAAATGCCAACATACATAAACAACATGATTGATGCATGGACGATTAATCGCTGCAATAAAGTGCTATTTCTCTAGTCTGACCCTTAAAAATACTTTAATTGCTCTGAGTTAATATGCTAATAAGTTGATTCAGTCCTATTAAATTATATTGACTTGAAATAGTTAATTTAGATGTTCCTAAAGTATATTTTCAACTGAAAAAAAGTTTTTATTCAATTTTTGTTTAAAAAAAATTTAATTTTGTTTTTATTTTTATTGTTTTATTCATTACACAAATCAATATGCAAAGTGCATAACCCCTGAAGTCCCAAAAAAATCCCAGCACCCACGAGCCTAAGCGCTCCAGCTGAGATTGTTCTTCAAGTTAACTCCTGCGATCCATCCCACCTGCCTCTGACGGCATGGGAGGTCCCGGCGATAATCTCCCCACATACCTTCAAAACTGCCTGAATCTCATCCTCGTCCTCTATCTGACCTCATCAGCTCCTGTGAAACTATGCCGTCACAGAGGACACAACCGCATGCAACAGGAGACACAAGAGAGAGGGAAACCGACCGCAAGCATTCACTCCTGCCCTCAATAAAAGGCCGCCACAGGCCACCGTCAACAATTGCAGCTGTGACCGCACCATTACCTGCTGCTCTTTAATTTGCCCGACCACACTTTAGAATGAAATACGACAGCAGACAATAGCACCAGGACATAGAGAGAAAGAGAGAGAGAAAGAGGGAATGCAACCGGTACACTGCTCAGAGGATCTGGTTTCAGGCGCTGACGGGCCAAGCCAGAGGGTCAGAGCATGGGAACAGGCAAAAAGAAGGTCCTGTGTCAATAAGGGACAGTGGTCGGGCACAATGGGGCCAGCTTCACACAACAGCACTGACAGACACCCACACAAAAGCAGCCATCCATTCTCACACAGCCAGCAGAATGAGCCAGTGTGTGGCTGCCCAGGGGCATGTTTGAACAGCACACACACACACACACACACACACACACACACACCCACACACACAGTGCATAAACAAACACATACAAGCATATACACAAGCATTCACTCAGATGAATGAACTTGGCCAAACAAACACACTTGCAAACATACTCCAAAATATTTTTTAAGCATTTAAGGCCCAAAACAAACCTAGTTATCTTTAATCTATATATTCTATCTATCTATATCTATCTGTCCGAATAAAGAAATGGAACAGAAAATAAACTTTAAAATCAAATATATCTGGAAATTATTTTGGATTCAACTACTTGGTTGTGACACAGACAATAAGCATAATTAATATTTTCAAAACTATGAAACTCACCTGTGATTAAACATCTCATAGCTTGTCATAGCTCATATATGAAAAGAAGAGCTTCTGTTTGAAGGTTGACCTTGATATTGACTTTATAAATGTTTCACAATGGTGTTGACAAGAGGGGAAATCTTATAAAAGAGGGATATTATTATTATTATTTATATCCATCATTATTAGCCTCTGTCAGGACACAGCAGTAATGTTTCATTAAAAGATATGCTAGGTATACATTTTAAAATCTATTTAAAGTACAGGTGGTTTTAGGGGTGATGATGCCATAATTTTGTAAAAAAAAAACAAAAAAAGAGCAAGAGAGAGTACAATACTTTCTTTCTTTTTTCTTATTTAAAAGGGGGTGTTTAATTCATTACAAACTGAAAAAAAATTGACATCCATGTCATTAAACATGGGGGGGGGAAATTACAAACAGATCATGTTTTTAAAGCTTATTTGTTCTTAGACAATTGGATCAATGAAAGGTATTGCTCAAAATCTTTCATAAATTAACATCAGTCATCAACAAACTTCACGATGAAGAAAAGTTATCTGACGCTATCTCTATTTAGTAATGTCTGCCATCTAGTGGACAGAAGTGGGACTGTATGACTGTCTTCAGTCACTCTGTCATAATCATTACGCAAAACAAAATGTAAAACACATATTGTAAAACAAAGCCTGTTAAATAACACCAAACAGTTCTGGCGACATGCGGGCTACTGCAAAGCAAAGACTATCAATGTACAAACAAACCAGTATCAGATAAATAGAGTCAGCCTACCGGTAGACTTATATTTCAGCAAATCAATAAATCAAGTATTTATTATTATTATTATTTCTTTGTTTTTAGGGGTGAAATATTGAAATTGTCGTAAGAACTGACACTCCACTGCTACTTTCCTTCTGGATCATGCATATAAACACACCTAACTCAAATATAGGCCATGATCCATCAGACTGTAGCAGAAATATTAGTTGAAAATCCTTTTTCTTTGTAACTTTAAATTTAAATAAGGATATAAACGAATTAAGCGTCTGTCGCTGATAAATAAACGCAAAGTAGATTTTTCGGGGACTGTCCACTAGAAAGCAGTGCAGTGCGAAAAAACATTACTTTATTATGCTAATTCATTGTGCATACAGCATGCAAGTATGTGCACATAAAAAAAAAAACATTGACAAATTTTGTTTTTTTTGCTTTGAACTGAATCCATGTAGTATGTGTGTGTGTAACCTATGTAAGCAATGTCACTGTACTGAATCTTGTGGTTTTTGAGCTTTCATTTCAAGATTTTTAATTTTCAAGATCAGAACCTTCTATATATAGCAAGGCTCAACAGCATAAAAGCCAATGCATATCCACATGCATGTGTTCAGTTTATAGGTCAGCGCTGATGAATTCATAAACTACAAGATATGACAGATCACCCTTGAGCACCCTCAAAACTTCCTCTGAATAGTGCAATAAGACAGTACAGCACAGAGAAATATCAAAGTTTTATTTTAAAATGTATAATAGAGGAACAGTAGTACAATTGAAAGAGAAGGAAAATGTATTCATGAGAATTCTTGAAAAAAAAACATAAAAAGAATAACCTGACTTGATTTGTGTTTAAGGTGAGCCCCGTTTGCATCACTGTAAGAGAGTTGAAAAATACATCTTTGAAACAGCTTTTACAAAATACAGCTGAAAAAAACTTCATCTGTAGTGTTTTTTTTATCTTTTTTGTCTGTTATGTCCATATACAGTATAAAGTCAAAGGAGTACATTAATGTGAATTGAACAGATACACAGACAAAACAAGAAAAACCATAATTTGATGGTGACATAATGGTGAATCTGCACATGTGAACAGAAAGAGTGAAGGCCGGTGAGAACAGTAAAAGCCAGGCTGAGGTTTTAAACCGGTTAACTGTAGCGACGTGCCATCATTTAAATATCTATATTTTTTTTTTTTTCATAATCTTTCATATATATATAATATCCCTCCCACAGTGATCTGAAGGTAAGCAATACAAACAGGATCTTCTATACAGCTTTTAAAATACACTTTCATCTCGAGTAAAGGGAAAGATAGACGATTTCTGTATCAGTATAGCACTTCAATATATCCACTGCATATGAACAGAAACTCCTGCTCCTAGGAATTAACCCACAAACAATAGTTCTTAAAAAATATGTGCTTAAAATGAAATAAAAAAACACAATGGATGAACAAAAGCAAAATAAAACCTCAAAAAGAAGGACAAATAAAACAATATATGCATCTAAGGGTAAAGTGAATGATTGATTTTAGAATAAAAACAATTAAATCTGACGACATACACAAGCAAAGATCTACACTAAATATTTACCTGGATTTCTTATACATTATCTTTAACAATTAAACAACGATTTTGGTAGGACACATGAAAATTAACAGTCTTGATTGCATTTTGGAGTCAATATAGTTTATATAGCATTAAATAATGAAATGTCAAAAAAAATAAAAATAAAAATAAAGCTCCGTATGGAATAAAACACAACAGTTTCAATTTATTTCCATCCAGACCGGCTTTGGGGAAATAAGAAATTATCAAACGCAGAACAGTAAGTGCCGTCTATGTACTTCCATAGACCTTCCACTCTACATCAGCACAAGCAAAGTGTTTTCCACTCAGCAGACACACGACGAAGTCCAAATAAACGAAACCGAAATGATCGAAAATGTTACAGGGGACCAAAACAAATGTTTGGGAGTCTATTGCAAACCACCTCTTTCCATCTGCATTCTTCAAAAATGGTACACAGGTTGTTCAAAGATCAGTACCACGAACCAACTCAGGAGGGTCAACAACATCAGGATGTTCCATCTGTACAAGTACTGCCAGTAGCTTTAACAACAACAAATGGTATGTGTGTGTATGTGCATTTCATAGAAAAGATGTTAAAAACAGAAAAGCATACCTGATAGGCTCCTTAGCACAACCGTGTAAAATACAAAGCGGATTAGTATAACTGAGTTGAGTAGGCTTTACGATTATTAACATCATATACAGCTTGTAGGTCCAGTATTTAAAAATAATAATCAAAATAAAAGCATTACAGCACCAAACGTTTCTATCATTTGGCAAAATTCAAGCTTTAAGTGAATGTCAAAATGCTTTATAAAGTGTTACTGTGATGCTGTGATTCAAATAAAGCTAGCAATAATATATTCCCCTTATATTTTATCATTTTTTTCTTTCTTTCTTTCCTTCTTATATTTCTCTGCTTTGTGATTTCTCAGCATTTTCAGTAGTTTGTGTCCTGCAAAAAATCTCGGTGTGCGTTCTGCTTGGCACGATCTAACAGCCCCATATAACTTAATCATAAATATGGCTGTGGTCAATTAGAGTCACAAAACAGATTTTTGGTTCCAAGACTTGTGCAGGGAAAAGGAAAATATATAATTTCATGACAACATTTAACTAGAAAGGAAACACACACAAAAAAACTCTTCCTGTAGGCGGAATTTCTATAATGCTCTTTCTTTGTCGAGCTCCTCCTCTGAGCAATATACGATCAGATCTGTCAGGAAGCGCAGTTATGAACTGAAAATAAGTAGACGTACATTAAAAAAAAAAAAAAAAACGAATTCTATAATTTTCAGTAGACCATAATATCTTTCTTCATAAATTAAATAATTATTATTTCTTTTAATATGATTGGCCTATTATAACTCAGAAACGCTGTACACCCTCATCCCCTACAAAAGAAAAAAAATACATCACAGAAAAACCTGATTTTTTTGTTATATATCATTATACCTCTTTCTCTGACAGGCACACAGCCCAGACTCTGACACACAGAACAATCTTTAAATATTGGAGTCCCTCTCTAACAAATCTACATATATCTTTGTCATAACTTCACGTGCAACAAAGAGGTTTGATAGCACTTTGGAATTGTTGATTGTTACCCAGCTATTTTTTTTTCTTTGCATTTTGATTCGTTTCTCTACCAGGTTTTGTCTTAATTAGTCCTTCTCGGGGGTGGCATCCGCATCACCCTCGCAGTTGGATTGGTCAATCTCATTAGGCTCCTCCCCTTCGGCCTCCATGTCCTCGTCTCCCTCTCCGGCCTCATCAAAGTCTTCGTCGCGGGCGAATTCCAGGTCCTGCGTGCCCTGGTGGGAGTCGGCGCACTCCATGCACACACCGTATCGCCGAGAGCCGTGCCGTATGCCCACACTGGCCGCCAACATGAAGATCTTCTTGCATACCATACACTTGTATTTCTTATCCTTTTTGTGAACCTGCAAATGAATGTAATGAATGGGGGATATTAGTGAGTGAAGCAAGATATTATATTAGTGAGTATTGTGAGATGTGAAAACAGTCTGTGGGTGAGTATCACAAAACTTGTAAAGAATGTCTGTCATGCCACCTCAAAATCAAAAGAAATAAAAAATACATTATATTATGCATTGAACATTCTTAGGAACATTCGAATTAAGCATTTCTGGTCCCCTGGTGTAATTCTAATTAAAATAAAATATATGTATATATACACATTTATTCTATTCTATTAAATAATATTATATTATATTATATACTCTATGTGTGTGTGTGTGTGTGTGTGTATATATATTTCTCAATGTAGATTTTAAAATATGTGTGTGTAAATATAAAATAAATATTTAAAATACATATTTAAAATGTATGTAACATACAAAAGATATTTATAGTCGTAAAAAAGATTTATGCATGTGAATGTATATATATATATATATATATATATATATATATATAATTAAATTAATTATTCGTTTATAATTTTAGGGGAAATTTGGAATAAAATATGCTCAATTGCCATGAAAATTGTCACAATGCACAAATTCGAGGTTTAAAGTGGTTTAAAATAAGTTATCTTGAAAATTATTCTTTAGATGTTAAGGTGAAAGGTTTTTCTGAGATTCACTCACATACAAAAAGTTGTGTTTCAGTCTTACCAGGGAATGTCTCTTGACGTGTTCTCGGCGAGTGAACAGCTTCCCGCAGATGTCGCAGCTGAAGGAACGCACGCCCGAGTGGATGATCAGGTGTCTCTTTAGTGTTCGTCGGTGCTTGGCAATGTAGTTACAGTGGGGACACTTCAGCTTATTGAGGGTGTTTTCGGGTGCTTCGCCTAGAGAAACCACACGAGCAAAAAGATTCTCAGCACTTTTCACACCAGTTCCTGAGATATAAACAATTCAGCATGAGATTTGCCAAGCCAGCAGATGCAGTTCGTCTCGTCAGAGGCAGAATTTTCTCCATTCGTGTTATCAGCTCTAATTGTCAGTTCTGCAACATTGTGACATGCAAAAAGTGGCTTTGTGTGGCTTAGAGAGAAAATTAGCATGTATAAGTGCCAGTATGTACCCTCAGTATGTATGTCACTCTGGAAAACCAAAATAGTAAAAACATGCTATGAAAGTGTGCCAGTTGCTATGGAAACCACATGCCAGAAGTCATAACTATATTAATCTAATGCAATTTTCTACTGATAAACAAGCTCTATAAAAGCAGGAACTCTTTCCTTCTAGCCACCATTCCTCTTCTCAAAACTAACATCCAGAAAGAGCCTGATTGTTTATCTGGGAGAAACTACTGTATAGTCGAAATTGCAATCTCTGTTTTTCGCTTCTGAAAAGATTCATCCCAACACTCAAGCTCTCACGAGAGCGGTGTCTTGTGACAATTTAGACCAGAGCTGCCTGTACTACAGCTTGTGGGATTGGGGTGGGATCCAGCTTTGTTTGAGCCAAAATGGGCAAAAACAAAAGGGTCGTCAAGCAGGTTGCCAAGGGGGTGACAAGAGCCAGATCGCCCGGGAATTCAATTGAGGCGCTAAACACCACCTTGAGGGCTAAAAAAGGCCCGACAGCAGCTGTGCTGTTCGTTGGAGTTGACAGGCTGAAAATTAAAGTTCAGTCTGTTACTACGGGCTTGCTGGTACATAAAATGGTTAACGATTAACTTCCATCTATTTCTTAATGGCCAGGCCTGAGTCATAAGACTGCTCAAGGCGAGAAATCGAACTGCGCAAATGGCGAGACTCTTCTCGCTGGGAATCTTACACTAGGCTGGATGAGACCTGCTAGGCCAGATCCGAGAGATTGGTGGTAAATGGGCTCAAGGTTTTAACCAACCCCACACTTTAAGTGCTAAGACTGACCTCAACCCCCCAAGGAAACACTACATTGCCTCTTAAGGCCCATTCACACCAAGGACTATAACTATAAAGATAACGATAAAGATATAGTTCTAAAAATCGTTCTCAATATTAAAGAATAGCAGAGTCCACACCACAACTATAATGATAAAGACAAAGAGAAATGATATCGTTGGAATCACTTTCAAAATGATTTTTCTCCAGCTGATGAACGATAAAAAAAATTGACAGCCAATCAGAATACATCCTGCTGTAACGAGATCAAGAATTTAAAGCGGCAGACGCACGTGCGCTTAGAATAAACAGACAATATCGTTTGCTGGTGTGGACGCTAATATCGATTTCTTTATAGTTATCGTTCTTGGTGTGAACAGGGCTTTAGACCTGAAATATACTCAATTACACAAGTACATGAATGCGTCTAGCTAGTAGCTACACATCGCTGTTGCCCGAAATGTGTCTAAATGCAAGTACGCAAATGGTGTTTGCAGGTATTAGCATAAACGAAAACAATCCCTCCCTTTGAGAACTGACATTAGCGTTTGCAACACTGTGGTGAGGTATTCGAAGTTGCTATACTTTCCAGGCTTAAGGCCCATTCACAACAAGGACGATAATTATAACTAAAAAGATATAGGCTAGGATATAGGATATAAAATCCTCCTAAATTTTAAAGGAATAGCACAGTTGATAACGATAGAGGAATGATATGCGCTGGAGTCTCTTTTAGAATATTTTTTTCCAGCTGATGAACAATATATATATACACAGTGGTGTGAAAAAGTGTTGGCCCCCTTCCTGATTTCTTATTTTTTTGCATGTTTGTCACACTTTAATGTTTCAGATCATCAAACTAAATTAAATATTAGTCAAAGGTAACACAAGTGAACACAACATGCAGTTTTTAAATGAAGGTTTTTATTATTAAGGGAAAACAAAATCTAAAACTACATGGCCTTGTGTGAAAAAGTGTTTGCCCCCTAAACCTAATAACTGGTTGGGCCACCCTTAGCAGCAACAACTGCAATCAAGCGTTTGCGATAACTTGCAATGAGTCTGTTACAGCGCTGTGGAGGAATTTTGGTCCACTCATCTATGCAGAATTGTTTTAATTCAGCAAAATTGGAGTGTCTCAGGAAGGGGGCCAACACTTTTTCACACAAACTGTGTATATATATATATATATATATCACCAGCCGATCAGAATGCATCCTGCTTTTAATAAACAAAGTTATGGTGCGTTGGCGTGGATGCTAATATAGTTTTCGATTTTAGTGTGAACAGGCCCTTACTGTTCGCTCTCACACATCAGGGATAAATCCTTGATAATTTCACACCACTGTCAACCCTCTACGGACACCTTGGCAATTGAATCGCCATTGGCTAGTAATTTTTTTTTTGTTTACTCGCCAGACTGAGCTTTTTAAATATCTGAAAGTACACTCTTAACATCAGTCAGTCAAGCATTATAATATGATATGCAACGGATCACAAAACTCACGGTTCGGATCATATACGGATTTTGAGTCACGGATCGGATCATTTTTCGGATCAGCCAGAAAAAAAAAACTTTTATAAGTACTTCTATACTATTCTATACAAAAACCACTAGCTTAACTAATAAAGTTAGTAATAAAACAAGAACAATTACAAGCATAGATGAAAACAAAAAATCAGTTACAAATATCAGTATTTAGGTGCAGAAATGTAATAATTAAGTTTAACACTATAGTGCTCACTGCACAAGTTAAATACAGATTAATCTTTTTTAGAGCTGTGGTGTTATTTGATTAGCAGACAGAAACCGGTATTTATTGGCTGCTGTCTCTTTAAGACCAAATGCACGGACACATCCGGTTTCTTTCTCCCCTGTTTACATTAACTTAAGACATAACCGACTGTGTTTACTAGAATACTTGCCAAAGCGGATATTTTAACATAACTTTGTGTATGTGAAAGAGGAAACACACGTGTCGGAATCGCGCCTCTCTCTCTCTGCGTGTGTGCGCACAGAAAATAGTGTGCAAGTTAAAACTGCTTGAATGTGTAAACTGGCAAGACAAAACATGTGCAAATGGTAAACTTTCACTCTATGATGGTTAAACTTAACAGTTAATCAGCAAATCACATGCGTACTGAACCATGGGGTCTGAAAATCTGAGAATTTATTAGCCATTGGCTAATATTAGACATCATTTAGTCGCCCAGAGTGAAGATTTAGTCGCATATGCGAGTGATTTACTCGCAATGTAGAGGGTTGACTATGTGTGTCTATTTGTAAAGATCACGACTTTGCATAAGGAAGCAACTATAAATGTGTGTCTGTATGGGTGTACAGAAGAGATATGATGTGTAAATAAATGGGTGAAGCCCTAACAGTGATCATCTTACACACTGTGGATTAGCAGGCAGGCGGGCCAAAGCCGTCAGATCCCATTGTAAGTACATCTGCAGTGGGTCCACTCTGCCTGGGTCAATATTTGGAATGGCAGAGATAGTTGGGCTGCATTAGCAGGATTAGGGTGGGACGGCCCCTGGCAGCGCTGCACCTCAGAAGAGGAAAACGGGGGTAGTGTGTGTGTGTGTGTGTGTGTGTGTGTGTGTGTGTGTGTGTGCACGTGTGTCACTGCTGAAAATCAACAATTCAACCATCCTGTTTGGAAAGAACTCAAGCATTTATGGTGACGGATCCTGCTGTGTGATGTGTGAGAGAGAACAGACAGGGCTCATCCAAGCGCAACACAAAGTTTTATCGAAAAGTAATTTGTCTGTCCACACCGAAAGTGAAAGTGCAACATGACGTGACACCAGTGTTGTTATTGTTAACTAAAACAATTATTATTAATTGAAATAAATATCAAATGAATATTCAAATGAAATAAAATATAAATATTAGACAAATTAAAACTTAAACAAAAATTAGAAATGCTTCCTTGGCAACTAACTAAAATAAATAAGTACTAAAACTACTTAAACTGAAATAAATGAAAACTAAAACTATTAGTAGTTGAATTAATATTAACAGAAATAAAGTTAAATGGAAATGAAATAAATAAAATAATGAAATAAAGTCCTAAATGGAAATTAGAAATGTTGTTGTGGAAAATAACTCAAATAAGTTTAAGTACTAAAATTAATACAATTGAAATAGATTAAAGTTAAAAAGAAATATTTAAAAAAATCTGTCACTTGCGCCAGTACCTTTTCAGAAGATACACTTTTGTATTTTTAGGTACCAACATATACCTTTAAGGTACCAATATGGACTCTTTGGGTACAAACGTGTACCTTTTGAAAAGTTACCGCCCCAGTGACAGCTTTTGTACTTTTTTTCTGAGTGTACAAAAATAAAAGCCAATTCCTACCATTAATAAATACTATAAAATAGTATACATGTAAAACTAAAATAACAATGTGTGACAGAACTGCAGCTAATTAAAACATCTGATGTAGAGCTATGTGGATATAAACATGGGAAGATTTTGAAACAATGAGATTTCTCAGTGAGCAGGGCTACCCATGATATTTATAATATAATTATTATAAATGTAACATTTATATACTATGAGTGCTTATAAAAATGTTTTAAATACATATGGCAAATTATTTTAATATTTGAAATTAAAAGTTGAATTATTGAAATACACCATGTATATATCACATAATTTTCATTATTTTGTTAAACTGACAGGGTTTAATATGGGGGTAGAATTGTTGCTTAATTCCAAATAAATAGATTATGATCCACAAATAAATAGAATGAGATCCACAAATAAATCTTAAAGTTTCACAAACATGAATTAAATTCGCAAATAAATAAAATGAGATTTGCAAATAAAAAACATATTCACAAATATATATTTATGTCACAACCACAACTTTGCCTGGCATTTATTTGTGAATCGCGTCTTGTGCATTTGTAGATAGCTGCACGCATTTGTGAATCGCGTCCTGCGCATTTGTAGATGGCACACGCATTTGTGAATCGCGTCCTGTGCATGTGCGAATTGTGAAACATTTCTTATATATTTGTGAATATGTTTTTTATTTGCAAATCTCATTTTATTTATTTGCGAATTTAATTCATGTTTGTGAAACTTTAAGATTTATTTGTGGATCTCATTCTATTTATTTGTGGATCATAATCTATTTATTTGGAATTAAGCAACAATTCTACCCCCATAGTTTAAGCAATAAGCAACATTCCCCTTCACGAAAAAAGCCCAATGTGTGAAAAAGGAAGTGGGTAGTCAACATGGACGCAAGTACACAGGCGAGTACGTAAGCATGTGTAGGCAATGACTAGACACTAGTCTTTGCAGGTGTGAGCCGTCAGCTCAGCACATTTAAGTGCCCTCAGGAATATGACCCAAGTGCATTTGAGGGCGTTTAGGCAGCCTGAGGGTAGAACCGTCTCCCCCGCTTTATTTCATTATCCTGCATTAGAGGAGTCAACGACAGCGAGAGAAAGCCTCTTCTCAGAACCGTGCCACTTAAGACATGATACTATACCACGACGTGCCGCTCTGTTTCATGGGGGCAGAGAGTTTGAAACATGACAGCTCGGCGGCAGGCTAGAGATTATGCTGGTTTCTGTGGTATGAGGTGAAGGGAGGGCCCACTCCCTTAATAAGGGTAGAAGAAAAAGGACTGGCCACTCTAATTAAAAAGGGAAGATGGTCTTGTGGCCTTGAGCTACACAGGGCAGGAGGAGAAGCGATCACGATGCAAGACCCTGGTTGGCCGACTGCCTCAGCTGAAGGTTTAGACGTGTGTGCATGTGCACATGGGTAAGAATGTGCTTTAGTATTATTATTTAGTACATTCCCGCTTGAAAAGAAAGGATGTAACAACATATCAGCTAATGTAGGAGAAAAAATGTAGCATGGGAATTTGGATTGCGAAATATGGGCATTTTATACCAGAGTTTGCAATCAAAAGAGCTACATGAGTTCTTAAACATTTCTGGCACCCATTGTTTGAAACTTAAAGGCACAGTTCACCCAAAAATGAAAATTCTGTCATCATTTACTCACCCTCACGTCGTTCCAAACCTGTATGAGTTGCTTTTTTATGTTGAACACAAAAGAAGAAATTTTGTTGGTGGTTGCCATTGACTTCCATAGTATTTTTTTTCCCCTACTATGGAAGTCAATGGCAACCACCAACTGTTTGATTACCTGCAATCTTCAAAAGTTCTTCTTTTGTGTTCAACATAAGAAAGCAACTCATACAGGTTAGGAACGACATGAGGGTGAGTAAATGATGACAGAATTTTCATTTTTGGGTGAACTATCCCTTTAAACAGCCTTGATGCAGAGCAAGTTACATTTTGCTAAAAGATTATGAAGACAGATATAATTTTTAACATGCATTAATCAATCTTGCACAGTAAAACTAACCATTAATTATTAATAAATTAAAAAGGCTGATTTTGATTTTAACGTTGACTTGTGTTGCCAAGCTCATAAATAACATACTTCAATTAAGCAATAAAACTGAACTTTATCGGTGTCATAAATAGTTTTTTTATGCTCAAATAATGGTAAAATGTAATACATTTCAGGTTGGTTGCGCAAATGCACACATGCAGTCCAAAGTGGCAGTCTCAGGATGTCTGCTTCTATGGGAAGCAAAGCGTTAAATGGCAGCTGCAGTGATGCACCACCATTACCAGCTGGCAACTGGCTCTTTTATTTAGAAGGCAGTACATTTTCTGCCATATTGCGTACTGCACTTTCTGGTATTCATAGCAACGCCAGTATATATATATATACACAGGCTTTGATCAGGCCCACTACAAAATAACATACTGTATACAGCATGCTGTTTGTAATACAGTCCACAATATGTTAGACACTGCATAACCATATTCAAATTGATGTAAACAACCTAAGATCTAATCGCATTCCCAAATATGTGCCATTTTTCTAATCAACTTGTATGGAAATTTACAGTCGAATGTAAACCATTTGCACGGTATGTACTCAGCATATCAAATTCACAAGTAGTGCTAGTAGTATGATAACATGCTGTTTGGAACATGACATGACTTCCTCAAGGCTGTGTATTCTGCCTCTGACAAACACTGATTATACTACTACCAAAAGCTTGACAGTAATGCATACTACATTTTGTGTGAGTGTGAGAGAGAGGCGTCTAAAACACCATTGTCATGACAATCCTAATGACAGCACTGGAGTATGCTGATGAGTCTACATAAAAGGGCAGCAACATTATTTAAATAACCAAACTCCCATGACCTGAAAGAGCTTTTTTTTTCATTTGCTGCTGGGTGCGTTTTTAATGACATAATTTAGTTGTGACTAGGGCTGTGTGATATTGAAGAAAAATGCGATACCTTGTTAAGAAATGTGATATTTAATATGCGATACGATATTGCTTAAAGTGTGTAAAATCAATTTAAATTATATTTTAAAATATTTAAAAATGAAAATTATATAACCAATTTGTTTCACATTCTTTCTTGGAAAAGAAAGAATCACTACAACTTCTGAAAGTGACCAGCAGTGTTTTAGCATTACATAAAAAGTAATGTCACAAATCAGGAAATGTCATTTTAACATCAGTGTGAACATACAAATGAAAAAAAAATGAATGACACTAATTTTGTATCATTGTAACTTTGCTTTCCATACACTTTAAGTACTTCTTCATATACCACAGCAAAAACTATAGTCTGAGAAAGTTCAAACACGATTAAAGGCAAGTGAACAGTGAACAGAAAAAAAAAAAGGAAATACACCATTTACAAGCATAGATAATATAAACAGTAGTATTCAGGTACAGAAATTTAATAATTAAGTGAAAAAAACACTGCATAGTGTTCACTGTATGAATTAAATTGAGATTAATCTTTGTTATAGCTGTTTTGTTGTTTGATTAACATTAGTGACATATTCAGCAGCACGTATTTATAGGCTGCTGTCCCTTTAAATCCGACTGCACGGATCCAGTATAATGATACGCCTCTGATTTCTTTGGAAATCGGCTTTGCACGTGTGTGGCAGAACTGAAGAGATGCTGCGCGAGATGCGGCTTGTGCACATGCTTCAGGTGTGAGTCAGCAAGACGAGACAGCAAAGAGTTGCTTTCTGTAACTTATTGCACTTAACTCTTTTTAACGTCAAGCAATTCTCTGCTATATTCGTCGAACTAAAACTTTGACCTTTTGCAACATTTTGATTTAAGTAGCCTATTATTAAAATTATTCAGATATCGCACGCCCTTGCGATATGCATATTGCAATATTTTGATAATTTCGATATATCGTGCAGCCCTAGTTGTGACCATTTGAATTGGTACCTGAACAGGAAAGAAAGGCATGATGGGTAACGTACCGGCATTCTCTGAGAGGTAAGAGAAGTCCTCTCTGGTGTAGGAGGCAGATGGTTGGATGAACATGCCCTCGTCAAAACCCTCTTCCGGCTCAGGTGGGATATTGTACACAAAGCGCTTGGCAGCCTGTTTTTTAACCCTTCCGCTGCCCGGCTCAGGATGCACCTCTCTCTTGACAGCAACCCCAGTGCCAGGGTGCGGCTCGTTCCAGACGAACACCGGCCCCGGACCCTGTGGCTCCGTCTCCGTAGACTCTGACGAGTTCTCTCCTCCCCAACCGGAACTTCCCAAAGCACAGCCTTCTCCCCCGGACACCTCCACGTCGCTGGGTTCATCCTTCACTTGCCCACTGGCCTTGATGGACAGCTTGGACAGGATGCTGGTGGCCCAGAAGTTGCTGGGCTTCTTGTCGGCACTCTGGCAATCTTTCGCCACCGTCCGCCGCTTGTTGTAGTCAACCACCACAGAATCAGGGGCTTCCTGCTTGATGCTGATGTTAAGAGCATCTTTGATGAAGGCGCGACAGGACTGGACCACTTCGGTCATCTGGAGGTAACTTGCCACGGACATCACCTCGATGGCATTCTGGCTGGTGAGCAAGAGGTTGCCGGAGTACAGGAAGTCCAGGATGACGGAGAAGCCCTGTACAGCCGCCACATCCAAGTGCGTGATGGTAGTTTGGTCGCAGTTCTCACTCTTCGTCAGGCAGTAGAGGGTCTTGAAGTAGCGGCTCCCAGCAACGAGGATGTTTTTGTGCGCCTTGAACACCTGGTCGCCCACTAGGATGTTGACGTCGCAGAGGATACCACTCTTGCGCTGTTTGTCCAGCTCCTGTAGCAGCTGGTAGCAGTAGGAGTTCTCATTGGGCTTGTTTCTATAGTCCTCCACCTCCAGGCTCTCCGCATCCTCTGGCCTTTCCATCTCCTAGTGGATTGACAACAAATAAAAATGACAATCAGCATTAGTCTACAGTGTAAACATAAGGTGGAGGGCAGGTGTACGGTGACAACTCCAGCTAGAGAACTGGTTGAACAGGCTCAAAAGCTGCAGTACTGTGGGAACTACAGCGGTGGTAAACCCCCACCCCCAGGACGTGAGCTCTGTGCCCTTGTTAATGCTCTTTAAGATGAGAAATATTTGGCCATTATCCCATCCCACCATAAGTCTCCATCATCTGCTCTCACAATTAAGAGAGAGAGAGAGAGAGAAAGTGAGAGAACCGGCTGGTACCTACCAATGGGAGTGAATCTACACAACATATTTCTGGATTGCAAAGCAGATGTCCTAATCCATGCAGAAATTTATACCACCCTACATTTTTTCCCCTCCTACCACACAGCTGTTTTTTTTGCTGGAGTAATTCAGATTATTTCTCAGGGCGGAGGCCTTCCCAGCCCCCCTCCTCCACACTGCTGGGCTTGTCCTGGTAGATGGGGTTATTACTGTAGCCTGATCCAGCTACAGCAGGCCCAACCAGCAGTCAAGAGGGAGAGAGAGAGAAGGAGAGAGAACGCAACCCCATTTCTCCACACAATGCCAGTCCTTTCCTCCAGGCTCATTGTTCACTATTGCTGCTTTAGTGCTACACTGAAGCTTTGTCAAAAAAGCACTTACAATTCCCTAGCACACTTATTGGCGAAGGCTGCAAAACACAGCTGGAATTACAAAACCAGAGCTGGAATAAAATCCTGTCATCCTTTACTCACTGTCATGTTGTTTAAAGCCTGTATGACTCATTTGAACACACACAAAAAAATATATTTTGAAGAATGTTAACGCTGCTCTTTGCAATTTGATAAAGAGGCTGCATTTATTTGATTAAATATAAAAAAATACAGTAAAACAGTAATACTGTGAAATATTATTACAAACTAAAATTCTATTATAATTTATTTTAATACACGATTTATGCCTGTGATGGCAAAGCTGATTTTTCAGCATCATTACTCCAGTCTTCAGTGTTGTGACACAATCCTTCAGAAATCATTATAATATGCTGATTTGCTGCTCAAGAAACACTTCTTATTATTGTCAGTGTTGAAAGTTTAGCTGCTTAATATTTTTGTAGAAACTGTGATACATTTGTTTCACGATTATTTGATAAAGTAATACAAAAGCATTTATTTGAAATAGCAATCTTTTGTAAGATTAGGAATGTCTTTACTGTAACTTTTGATCAGTTTAATGTGTCCTTGAGGAAAAAAGTATTACTTTTTGTTTAATAAATATCTTCCTGAACCCACACCTTACTGAACCAACTGTCAAAATTACAAAAAAGCACCTTACAAGTAGTCCACATTATTTGCAGGGTATTCCAAGTCTTCTGAAGTCATATTATAGCTGTGTGAGGAAAAGACTGAAATTTAAAGCTCGAGTGTGCAATTTTTTTGTGTAAACACTGTGGCTCAGTGGCACTTTCATAACATTTCTCTGTTTAAGCATCCCATCTAGGAACACTGACTCAACTGATGATACGAGTTTGGTATAGGACTATCGGTTTGACAAACAATGGCTGACATGGGCGTGGTTGGGAAACCTGTTTAAAAACCGCTTTTTGTGTGTTACTTAGATAAAAGAGACATGACAAGCATGAATGAGAGCTGTAGTAAAAAGAGAAACTCTTCAAAATCTCCTTTTGGGTTACACTTTGGTATTAGGGCTTTGAAAAGACATGAGGGTGAGCAAAGGATTTTAATGTGTAAATTTTGATAGAAATTTCAAAGAAAAGAAAATGTAGCCTAAATGGCAGCACTGTTGAGTTCAGACAGATCTAGTGAAGAGAAGGTTTGAAGAATGAGGATGAGGTGGAGGAACGGGGGTGTTAGACGAGAAAGAACGTCTGTTTTTGGTGTCACAATGTCCCCACTATTGTTCGCCTCTATCTATCCAGAGAGAGCCTGACTGTGGGCCAAGCCAAGCTATGAAGAGAGGACAGATGAGGTGGCAGTCGAAAGCGGGTGTCAGGACATGCTAGTCCAGAATTAACCTGTTTTTCTTTCTCTCCCTTTCGTTCTTCTCTCATATACACTCAGTTCATCCTTTCTCCAGATGCGCCACGTGTAACATATGCAAGAGAACAGATGCTTTTCGAAGATTTCCCCCATTAAACCCTGTCAAAATGAGTCTGTGGTGACAATTTGACATGGTCTTTTTCTTAATTGAATGTTTGTTATTGTTTTTGTCTACAGTTGTGCTGCTGGGTCATTTTTGCCCTCTTTTTGTAAGCCATTTTGCCTGTAAAAACTGTACAACCAAACACCGAAAGGAAAAGACATTACTTTTACAATATCTTTAAATGCCAAAATTATGATCTCATATGGTTGATGCTAATTGTGTTTCTCAGACAATTTTTTTTTTACTCACAAAACCCTGACATGTTTGGATTTCATTTACACTTCTGTTCAAAAGTTTGGGATTAGTAAGACAAAAAAACGTTTATTTAGAAAGAATGCATTCAATTCTTTAAAAGTGACACTAAAGACAATTTAGAATGTTTCAAAAGATTTTCATTTCAAATAAATGCTGTTCTTTTTAATTCATCAAAAAATCCAGAAAAAATAAGCATCACAGTTTCCACAAAAATATGAAGCAGCACAACTGTTTTCAACAATGATATAAATAATAATAATAAAAAAAAAATTTTGAGCTGCAAATCAGCATATTAGAATGATTTCTGAAGGATCATGTGACACTGAAGACTAGGGCTGCAACTAACGATTATTTTGATAATCGATTAGTTGATCAATTATTTTTTCGATTAATCGATTCCAAACAAACAATTTTTTTTGTCATTTATTTATAACTAAGTACTTTTATTTATTCACATAACAAAAATGGCCTCCTGTGCCCTTCATAGCTTGCATTCTTGCTGGCATTGTTTAAGTACTTTCTGACTGTAATTGGGTATCTGAAAAAAAAAACACACTATAAATGCCTTTCTTTCATAGATAACAGCAATAATTATATTATAGCATTAGAAACAGCCTACTACGGTTACTTAGTAAGAAATTATGCATATTGGAGAACTAACCCATACAGAAAGCTAAAAAATGATTTTGTAATCACCAGTACTGTTAGTTTAGAGCAGCAGTGGCACAAACCATAATTTGTTAAAAACCTTACATACATTTATTTTAATAAATTTGTTAGGCATTGTATATAGTGAATATAGTTTAAATCTCTGCATTAAAAATTAAAATAATAATAAAGTTGATAAAGACGAATAAAATCACAAACTCAGTGGTAACCAATAGGTAAGAGTAATGTTCTGCAGGAACGCATTTCACTTTGACCACAGTCATGTCACAGCCCGATTTGGATGGTAATTGTTTTGCATATGGAGGTCTGTAAAAATAAATTTACTTATCACCTCAGTGATAAAACTCATGGATTCCGAATAGGGCTTATTGTCATTTCTTTATCCTGTTAAAGGCAGTTTGGAAGCATCTGATATTTATATTCAGACAATTACACGCTGTTATACCCTTACAGTTCCTACTCTCATAAAATATGCGCAATGCATGTTGACATTTAAACCTTTATTTAACTTTCAACAACAGATATTTCAGCACAATTAATGTTTTTGCGCTGATTATTAATTGTCTGTTTTCTGTCTGTCTGACGCGCGCGCCCTCCGTTCAGTAAAGATTAAAATTTTTTGTTCATTGAATTGCAATGAAAGTTTTCTTGCGCTGAGGACGCACACGCATCTGTTAAATCGCCTGACAGGGCAAGCCATTACGTTAATGCATTAGCTTAAAATAAAGAATTCTCATGTTTTGGGTAGCTTGGATCACGTAACTCTCCTGCAGCATCTGTTTCCTCCACTATTTTAGATGCATTTTGTTCATAGAAATAAGTAATTCAGTGCTTTAATTTGACGCTACCGGCTGAAGTTGGACAAGTATGTAAACTCCGTTGGACGTGCACTATGGGCAGACCCGATTAATCGATAATGAGAATCGTTGTCGATGATTTTCATAATCAATAATAATCGATTTTATCGATTAGTTGTTGCAGCCCTACTGAAGGCAGGGGTAATGATGCTGAAAATTCAGCTTTACCATCATAAGAAAAAATTACATTTTAAAATATATTAAAATAGAAATTGAAATAGAAAACAGTTATTTTGAATTGTAATTTTTCACAACATTACTGTTTTACTGTACTTTTAATTAAACAAAGACTTCCTTCAAAAACATTTAACAAATTTTACCGACCCCAAACCTTTGAATGGTAGTGTATATAGAGGGAAACAAATGCATCATTCAGAATGTGACACATCAAAGAAAATAGGAAACGGGGTGTTTTCTGATAAAAACGTGTAATAAACGAAACTTGCTGTGGTTTCTCTCTCTGGTTTCTCACCCCAGACTTTCATTTTGACACGAAACGGGAACATTATACAACCACCACCAATACCGCTGCCCTTCTCCTGCGCTGCAGTTGAACAGACAGTCACCTAAAGCTCTTCAGGCGATGAGTTGCCAACACCCATTTTTCTATTGTACACTTCCAACATGTTCCATTCACCGTAAACCAACAATAGCTCCCCAAAATTTAAACACATAGCCTTCAGCAACAGAGAGCCGTGCCTATATCACCTACCAGGGCCACGGTGAGAATACACTACACAAGTGGCACGTTAGGGGAACATTGTGCCTCAGACAACAGGGACAGCGGTTTTGCTTTCCTTGCGCATAGTCTTCCTGAGCCACCCCAGCCCCTGAGGCCAGTGCCTGGTCCCCTCATCCAGATGCATGAACAATGCAGCAGTGTACTTGACCCAAGGTGTGGGAGGGGAATGCCAGGATCTGGGCCTCTCAACAAAGAGCAGGGCTCATCGATACAAAATTCCAGGGAATTCTCCCCCACCAGCACCAACACAACAGCACCCCCCATACACACATATCTCACAGCGGCAGACAGTGCATGGGTGGAGACCCTCGTCTTCATTGCAGCTCACTAATAATGGGAATAGAGGGCAAATACTTTGAGGGTGAAGTCTAGTCTGGAGAGTGAGGCAACCCAGATACACTTCTTTAGCAGTAATTCAATTACAGCAGCTTGATATGGACCAGTGAAGAAATGTAGCCCATTACGACGGACAGTTGCTGCACTGAAGAACATAATAGATCACAATTATGAAATTGGCTAATGGAGGATGTGGCCTATCAGAACAGCCTTTCTTTACTTAGACAGCAGACGTCCTTATGTTTTGCCCAATTAGGCTACTTTAAGACAGATACTATACTTCCATAGTCTTGTGATCGCCATGTCTACTACTCTTATTCCTGAGATGTCAATGACCATATCACTCTTAAATATAATGATTCTTTATTGGCATCGATGATTCCATCAAGAACCTTTAAAATCCATATTCATAAAAATAAAGGTTTCAAAACTGGGTTTTCACAGTGATGCCATAGAAAACCGCTTTAGTTCCTAAAAGAATCTTTCAGTGATCAGTTTTAAAAGAACCATTTTTGTTCTTAGTGTGAAGAACATTTTAATAATTTAAAGAACCTTTTTCCAATATGAAGAACCTTTTCAGCATTGAAAATGGATGTTAAAGGATCTTCATGGAACTACCCATGCCATTAAGGAACCAACATTGCATGGAACCAAAAGGTTCTTTACAGTGGGAAAAGATTCTTCAGAGTATTCAAATATTCTTCACTATGAAAAAATATATAGTTATTTTCACTGAAAGATTTTTAAGGAAACCCAAAATGGTTCCTCTATGGCATCATTGTGACAACCCCCTTTTGGAGCCTTTATTTTGAAGAGTATTTACAGTTAGGCCTGTCGCAATAATCAATATATCGACTTATCGCGCAATATATATACATGACCTCAATCATTTTTGGTGACGCAATATATCGCCCATTATATTTACTTAAAAATGAATGTCACCATGTTTTGTACATTCCACTTGCGCCTGTGTCTTTTGCAGATTCTCGTACATAACGTGTAGTCATGAGGTGCTAGTTCAAATTTAAAAAGTGCTTCTACAAAAAAAGTTTCATATGCAGATATGGCCTTGTTTAGGGATCTGTGCCTTTGTGCATACGGACATCTGACTGCTGAGTAGTGATTGTGTTTTTCAGCAATAGTGTGCACCCTTAATTTACAGAGAAAAGAAGGTCAGGGAAAAATCTGTAGATGGAAAAATATCCATACGAGTTATTTGTGCATTTACATTTTTTGTAATTTTTTTGCATTGAATTTGCATTGTTACTTTGCACTTTTTGTTAGAAAATGTTTATTTACTATTTATTCAGGTTTTTTAAGGTATCTTATATTTTGATACTTAATTTCCATGATCTAAATATTCTTAAAAATTTAAAGTTTGTTGTCATTTGGAAGTGTGTAGGCCTTCTTGCATTATTATGCCGTTACATTATGATTATATATTCAGTGGCATTAAATGGTCTTTAATATGACAATAATATCGCTTATCGCAATTCTTTCTGGGGCAATATATCGCACAACAAAAAGTTGTTATCGAGACAGGCCTATTTACAGTAGCACATTTGCTCCACAAATTACATAACATACAGTTATACAAAAAAGCAAGATTTTGTAAAAAGGTTGATTGACAGAGGAAAGTGATTAAACAGGAAAGCTTAACAGATCTTCTAGCGTCTTCTTAACCCCTCTGTTGCTAGGGAGGCGGCAGTAATCTCTCCTCCTCGTTTCCTTCCTAATTAGTGAGGGGTATAAATTGAGTTAGAGGAACACTTTGTGTCACCCTGATTAGACTGACTGGCCATTATCATACCACACAATCCTATGGGATTTTACTGGCAAACCAGTAACACAACATCATCTGGGCAGCAACAGATAGGATTTAGTACATGAATCAATCATTTTGTGGCTTGATAATGGACAGGGAATCAAAAGCATTAAAAAAAAAAAATCAATCAATAACTATTTATCTTAAATGACACGTCTAGGAATTGTACAGTTCCGTTGGATACAGAATGCAGAAGTATCAAATATCAATTAAATTTCACTATTACAGTGCATTATAATCACAAAGGTGTTTCTCAGCTGCTGATATATGATATGATTTATTCTAGCCTAATCTTATTCTGCTCTCTGCAGTGGCCTGCACTTATCAGGCATTGCTGTCATTACAGGCGACATAATTCACTCTGACCCAATGTAGCCAGTGACACACACTATCTGTGGATCTTGGGGAGTCACTGAACACAAGGCCTCTAATTTAGGTGCCCTAAAAGGGGAGGGTGAGATGTGCCAGAGGTCACTTTTTACAGCGAGGGGGGTTGGGAAGGGGTGCGGCTCCCCAAAGGTAGCAGGGTCAAACCCTTGCCATTGTGTGTAGCAATCAGGTTAGTAACCAAGACAACCAGGGTTGATAATTACAGTGCAATGCAGGAAACAGTCAGGCAAACGAGGACATACATTTTGAGCCACAGCCTTTATGGTACTTTTGGTCTGTTTAATAATGATTATCTGATAGATCATACTACAAACGCATGTAAATAAAGAATTGTTATAATATAAAACGCGATAACACATCTATAATCGGCGGTCTAGTTTCTTTAAGGTTTCAAATGAGCGTAAAAAACACAGAAAATAAATGTTATGCTTTAAATCTCCCAGTCGAGGCTCATCTCACCAACTGACAGCGCTGATCCAGTTAGCTCACATATGCTAACCTGCTAGCATACCTGTTAGCCGTCTAAACAGCTTTAAAAACAGCATTCTCGCTGCAATATAGCCGGAAAAACATCGACAATTGTTAATTAAAAACCGAACAGCACAGCCCGGGTCGGCTCCGTCGCCTTTCCTAATGTCATTATACCGCGGTGTGGACGTACCTGTCTGGTCGGGTCATTCCTGCCGTGCTCCGAGGACAGGTGATGCCTCAGCAGCAAGGCCCGCTTGTAATTCCGGCTGCCTTTCACCAGCTCGTCGCTGTTGTTGGTGGCGATGTTATGGCACCAGGAGCAAGACATCAGCCCTGTCTCCTGGCTGAATTTGAGCCAGGGAAACTCCTGCAGCCAGGAGGCTTGGAAGAGCGAGTGTTTCTGGAGCAGCAGCGTCTGAGGTCTCATCTCCAGCAGCGGCTTCCTAGCGGCCGCTTCCTCCGCGCTACAGTCCTCGCGGTTCACGCCGTTGCCGGTCGCCCACTTACAGCTCTCAGTTTTCACCATTATGCTGTTTAATACGCCTCTGTCACCGCCATCTTTCCCCGCTGTCCAACTGCCCCCTTCCGGGTCCTCGTCCTCCTCTGCCTCCGGCTCCGTGCTGTCGCTCACGGACTCCCCGCCCTCGACTTTCCCCAGCGATGGTCCTTTCGCCCCCGGATCACCGTCGTCCGCTTGATCCGGTCTGTTCCCGTTCAGATGTCGGTCTTGACAGGCCGGGGCCTCACAGCTGTTGCCTCCGACGGCGCTGGCACCGGTGACGGCTAATCCACCTCCTCGGAAAGCCAGCGACCTGCGGTTTCGCTCTCCGGACATTTTCTTCAAATAAATGACAATCTACACTTTCTCAACAAAACAAAAATCCGATCGCGACTCTCTTAAATAAAGTGTTCCGCATGAAAAGAGCCGTTTTTCTGCGCTCCAGCCTCCTGGTGAGAGTATGTAGGTTATGCGGAAATAAATAGGGGTTTTAAAGGCATAATGAGTTTGAGGGTTCTGCCTGCGTCCGCGCAGGCCCCGCAGAGGTCGAATGGCACCGACTTCCCCCACAATGCATCTCGGTCAGCGGGAGGAGGGGGGCCCGTGTTAAAGGAAGATGGGGGTGACGGCGAACAGCCAGGGGTCTTTTGTGTCGATGACTGCACCCATTTCCCGCATGCTTTTCATCTATAGAACTACACGACTCGAACCCAGCTGTGATTGTATCCCTTTCACGCCCTCCGCTGTGCGTGACATTAAAGCCGTGTTTGTGGCTAGAGTTGTGATGGTCGGGACAGGTGGTTTCGCGGAGTAATAAATGTTCTCGCGATGAGCGCCCGCATAGGTGTGTTTTACAGGTGGTGACGGAGATGGATGGATTGGTTTTTTTATATTTATATATATATATATATATATATTCATTCGTTTATTTTAACAATTTTAACAAAAAATCTAATCTGTTTTAATTTGAATGATGTATTTTTTTGTGGACAAATACATTATTGTGTTGGCTTGAATAAAATTGTTTTACTGATTTACGGTCACGGTTTTTATTGAATTGTCTTTTAATTTGTACTTATAATGTAGGTATGAGTGCGTGTTTGTGTGTGTGTGTGTATATATATATATATACCTATTCATATACATGCATACATGGATACATAGATGTAATTAGATGTATTAATTTTTTTGACAAATCCTAATGTAAATAGGCTAAGTAAATCCAGAAAACTGGAAACTTGAAGTAAAAGCGTCAAGTTTAATTATACAGTTGCCTTAATTAATTGCTGCATTAAAAACGTGCATTAAGTAAATCAGTGTGGATCTAGGTACATGCTCCAGTGATACGCTCATTGCACTTTTTCCGATCACCTTGGATTTTATTACTGATGAAGGGAATCAAGTTGAAACCCCACACACAATTGAGTTTAAACTACTAGTATTATTTTGACAAATAGAACAGATGAAAACAGCGGTTCTTACAGCATGATGCTAATGCTGAAAACATTGTTATAGTTTTGGTCGAATTGTCGAATAGCATGTAGCTAGTCCCTGTGGAGGTTCAAGAAACGTCCCAAAACACAAAACGAATATTATACAAATGGTTTAAAATACACTTTACCGTAGGATTATTAAACCCTGTCACCCAGTGGGTGGCGTAATTCCCTACAGTAGCCTACCAACATAAAACGATTAATAAGCCAGCCATGAGCGCCTCATTCTGTTTCCTCTGGGGGTGTCTTGTTTGACTGTACTGTAGGTAAATGAGGAACTTTTAAGCCCACCCCGTGAACGTGAAGGACCAGGCTTATCCCCATAAATAGCTCTGCTGGTATCCTTCTGTCGTATTCAAGCAATTCAAGCAATTTCGTATGTCTCTAGGTTTTTTTTTTTTGCGATATTTGTCTATTTAAATTTGTTATAATAAATTCTAACATTTAGCTATTGTAATTATAGGCTACGTGCATTACATTTCTAATTATTTATGTCAACACAGAGAGCAATAATTATTTTATAACCTACCCTGAGCACGGCGTAAAAAGTAATTTCTAAATTAGCCGGTTGGTTTTAATGAAACTGTCAAATATAAAATGACTAATTTCTCGTTAATAAAACGGTTATTTCGATTAGTTTACTTCAGTTCAGTTACGTATCGTTTAACGTTGATTCTAAATGAATATTTCCGCTCGGGTGGGTCCTCGCGCCAGTCTCGCTCTGTTTACATCTGTACGTGCTGTGCGTCCTGACGTCACGTACGACCCCACCCCACCTCGCGCGGCAGCCTGAGCCGAGCCTAGTTGCGGTGGCAGCTTTGAGCTCAAATTTGCAAGATTGAAGTGGGAACGCGGGACCACAAGGATCAGAATAACTCGCAACATAAAGAGGCCGCAAAGACAGGATGGAGGAAGCCGATCAAGGTAGCTGAATTCTTTTGAGAACGTGACATGACATGTCGGCACAGATTAGAAATGCAACAAAACTCAACTTTCAGAAGTTAGCTAGCTTGTTTGTTAGCACAGCCAGCCAGCAGCTGAAATAAGAACAGTGGTTGTTCATTTCTTTACTTTTGATTCACATTGGTAATGTCACAGTCAGTCAGGATAGATTTGTGCAGGAATTTTATTCGGGTTCGAGCATTTTTGCACATTGTAATTAGTTTGTTATCTAATCATTTATATGGTGTCCATAAATACTGTTAAAACTAATGAAAGTACCAGAACCCAACCATAGTCTCTCATGTTTCTGCTGCAAAATATTTTATGTATGTATGTATGTATGTATGTATGTGTGTATGTGTGTATGTGTGTGTGTGTGTGTGTGTGTGTGTGTGTGTGTGTGTGTGTGTGTGTGTGTGTGTGTGTGTGTGTGTGTGTATGTGTGTATGTGTGTG